CTTTGTTTGCCCCTCAGCAAATATGGCGGACCTTGTCAAAGTCACGTGACCTGGAATGCCTAATTATCTAATTGATAAAAAAAAAACTTTTAAGGAAATTAAAACAAAAACAAATATAATACTGTATAAATACCAAGTATAATATACATGTAATTACTTTTCAAACAACTTAGGTATGTATAATATTGTTCCACAATATTTGAGGGTATATTATTTCTTTGTATTATAAATTGACCTTTTCCTAAAACAATAAATTGAATCTGAACCTCAGCATAGGCTAAGTAGACCATACGAATGTGTCTCATTCCCTTTTCAATAATTTGAAAATAAGTAAACCATTTTTCAACGTTTAACCTTTTTTTTCCATATATGATGCTAGGATACATATTCGGATTCAAATACATTTAAACTCATATCAACTTCAAGTAGCTTGAAGTTCCTTTGCACTCAGGGTCATTTTTAAGGAGATTTTTTACCTCTTTTGGAAAAGTTTATCCTATCTTCTGGAACAATGTCAGAACTAACTAATAAATGTTCACTTTTATTATGTTTTCCCTCATGTTTTCCTCGGTGTTTTCCAATTACCATATTAAAATGATCTACTGAAATTATGTAATCTCCATTATCTAATGACCAATAATTTTTTTCTCAATAGGCGATTTTCTAATTTGGCCCCAATATGAAAAGTATCTTGAATGTAGCATTCAAATCCATTCAAGTCTAAGTGGATCCAATTCCAGAAGGTTTTTCCTTGACAGTTGTTAAAATTTTCAAACATTAACATAAATATTAAACTGATTATTCTTTTAAATTTGGACCTGTAAATCGATAAGTGAAATTTTGGGAGAATTTCTTTGATAAAAATGAATGTCCAAAATCCAACGAAAAACTAGATTATTAAAAAATTTCCAATTATTAGTGCTTCTTATAATAAGAATGTGAATCTCAATGACGTCATGACCCTACAATTTCCTTGAAATACCTCATACATTTCTCACAAATTCCTCCAAATTTACTGAAAATTATTCCAAATTTCCCATAAATTTCTTCGAATTCCCTATACCTCAATTCCCCACATATTTGGCAAAGAATTCCTTGGAAAATACAGTCTCACACAATTCAAAGTTTACTTGGAAAACTAATTGAGGGTAAAATTAAAACTTTTTGCATGTGAAGGGAAGGTTAGGAGGTCATTTTCTCAAAATTTCAAATTTTCCCAGGGGAAAATAAGAACATGAAAAATCTTGGAAATCAACTTAGAAAAAGTGAATTAATCGAAAATACAATTTCACACATTTCAAAGTTCTCCTGGAAAACTAATTGAGGAAAAATGTTGAAACTTTTTCTATACTAGGAGGAAATTTAGGAGCTCATTTTCCCATAATTTCAATTTTTTCCATTGGAAAATAACAACATGAAGAAATTTGGAAATCAGCCTACAAAAACTGAATTATTTGAAAATACAGTCTCACACATTTCAAAGTTTTCCTGGAAAACTAGTGAAGGGAAAAATTTGAAATTTTTGCATGTGAAGACTAAAACATTGGAAAATAGCAACATGGCGATTGACGAATCTTGGAAAACAGTCTACAAAAACAGAATTATTTGAAAGACAGTCTCACACAATTCAAAATTTTCCTGGAAAACTAGTAAAGGTAAAAATTTGAAACTTTTTGCATGTGAAGAGGAAGGTAAGGAGCTCATTTTCCGAGTCATTTTCCCAAAATTCCAAATTTTTTCAGTGGAACGTAACAACATGACGAATCTTAGAAATCAGCCTACAAAAACTGAATTAATCGGAAGACAGTCTCACACAATTCAAAGTTTTCCTGGAAAACTAGTGAAGGGGAAAAATTTGAAACTCTTTGCATGTGAAGAGGAAGGTAAGAAGTTCATTTTCCCAAAATTTGAAATATTTCCAATGAAAAATAACAACATGAAGAATCTTGGAAATTAGCTTACAAAAACTAAATTAATTAAAACTACAGTTTCACACATTTCAAAGTTTTCCCGGAAGACTGATAAAGGGAAAAATTTGAAACTTTTTGCATGTAAAGAGGAAGATTAGGAGCTCATTTTTCCAAAATTTATAAATTTTTCCAGTGGAAAATAACAGCATGCAAAATATTGAAAATCAACTAACAATAACTGAATTAATTGAGAATACAGTCTCACACATTTCACAGTTTTTTTAGAAAACTAGTAAGGGAAAAATTTGAAACTTTCTGCATTTGAAGAGGAAAGTTAGAAGCTCATTTTACCATAATTTTATATTTTTCGCAGTAGAAAATAACATGAAGCTTGACTTCTATAGTTTATGAGATGTGTTTATACATAAATATTGTTTCACGAGTGTTCGTACTTTTTGCCTTCCTTTTTTAACAAATAGAAATTGACTGAAACAAATCAATGACGTCAAAAACGTTCGTCGGTTCTTGAAACAGAAGTCATTGATTTTAATTTGTCAAAAAAATTGAATGTGTCTTATGAATTAATCTACGACAACCCTTTTTTTTTTCAAGTTATGACTTGTTCGATGTCGAAAGTATGAACTCTCGTGAAACGATCTGTACCCTTATTTTGTTAGCAGTTAGATATTTTTATTCACAAAACACCGAACAGGAACTAAACAATATTCGAAACACAAAAATTCTCAAGATTTCTGGTGAAAATTTCCTAATTTCTTATAATAATTTCAGTAAATTTTCGATAATTTCGAATAATTTCCTAACAGTTCCTACATTTTCCAAACATTTCCTATAATTTCTGAGAATTAACATAATTTGTGACAATTTACAGGAGATTTCTGTAATTTCTGAACACTCCTCCAATGAAAGGTCCTATTCATGTACCTACCAAACTTTATATAAGACCTAAAATTTCACTTCACACACTAGTGCATGTCGTATTATCAATGACAGATGTCGACACTGTCAATTGAGTTTTTTCCGAGTAAATTAGTTCACGCACTATACCTAGGTAGTCTATTTCATTGCAGTCGATAGGACAAATCCAGGGTTAAAGCCGTATATAGTGATTGTGAGACCATTGTAACTAGGGTTGCCAGATAGTTGAGTTTTGAAAATAGGAGACTTTCTATAAAATTATATGAAATTGGAAAATAATATATGAGAACATTTTATGTATAGCAAAATGCTCAAATCCCAGAAAGCTCCCATCTTGACAAATAGCTATGATTTTTAGCAGATTTTGGAATGTATTGCTGAACATTCTTTTAGGTAGTTAGATGCTCCTCCTGATTCGTCAGACTCAGGGCCGTTCTTAGGCGAGTGCAGGTTGTGCAGGCACAAAGGCGGCCAAACTAAAAGGGCGGCCGCAGGCCGCTGAGTCGGAAACCGTAAAAAAAATTTTGACGTGAGTTTGAAGCGTTCCAGAACCGGAATTCTTGCATCATTGGTCCTCCTGCGCTACGTAGCCGATTTTTCAATGAGCCGCCCTAATTTAAATAAAATAATTTTCACTAAAAAATTTAGTTGTTTTGAATAGGGGCGGCTTTTTCAAGCCTAGGTACATAAAGGCGGCAGAGGGGCTAGGACCGGCCCAGGTCAGACTCATTTCTTGTAACAAGTCAGACGGTCGGATAATGAACGCATGACACTCCAGCCTATCACGTGTACAGTAGTGATAATAGTGATATAGATGGTGCCTTTTTTTTTGAACAAAATATATGAGAAATAGTCTCATAATAAACATGAATTTTTGCACTTATTTTGTTGATAGTAGAAAAAAGTTTGTACGCAATATGTGTGTAAAGTACTTTTTTCTCTCAAGTGATTGTCGCACTCGCCTTTGGTTCATGCGTCAAAATTCACATTCGTGAAAAAAGGTTCACTTTATACACTTGTTGCATAAATAACTATTTTTTGTTAATTTTTTTTATTTATATACAATAAATAATGTTATGCGAGTAGGTATAAGCAATTGTGTACTTTTCAAGTAATATTTATTAACTAATTAATATTTTTTTAAATAAATTATGCAAGAAGTCTTGCTTCTTGCAAATTTCTTGCACAAGAAATCTTGTTCTTGCTCATTAGTTTCTTGTCTTTTATATTTCTTGCTAGTCCAATTCTTGTCTTGTTCTTACATGCAAGAACAAGACAAGAACAAGAAATACCTGCAACACTATTTTTAATTAAAACACGAAATTACATTGATGCTGCTACAACAAAGCTAACTTAAATAGGTACTAAATTCTACAACGTTGCAAGGCTATATTTATATAATAATAAATGCTGCATAAGCGAAAGCTTGCAAAAACTCCTTAAATTAATAATGCGTCGTCAGAAGCGGCCATATAATTAAGGTATATGTATTTATCTTTAGATTGTGTATCTTATTTATGTAATGTGAAAATGTTTTGTCCGTTTAATTAAAAATTAGAAAGTGAAATAAATTATCCTTCAGAGCTACAGAATTTAAATGGAGCTTGAGAGTAATTGCTTCCCCTAGTTGGTACTTCTCAAGTAAATATTTGCGAAACCGTTATACCATTGGGTCTCTAGTTTATCGGAAGTGGATCATCAAAATCGCCGACGCCAATAAAAGGCAAATATTGACTTAGTAGAAATTTGAATACGCCAGTTAGATTTTCATCAAAGGAAAATGGCTCCAATACCCGATTAACCCGATATTCATGGCTTAGGGATAATTGACTGTGGGCTTTTTGTTTACCGTACCGTTAGGTGAAACAAAAGGTTTTCAGCCAAAATATCATCCTCAGGAAAAGTTGATACCATAACTTCTCAAAATTGAAATCATCGATAAAAATCGTCAATATACCTGTTCCCAAACCTTTTACTTATATACACAAATACAATTCGATATTTCAAAGTAGCAAATAATAGTAATTCAACGACCCGGAAACTACAATATAGCGACTGGCGGATAGATATTTAGATAGAGATTTATGAAAGCACTACTGCTGTAGGTCATCAATTGTATGTCAAAAAAATATAAATATAACTGGTTGGCAAAAACGGACATTTGTCACGAATTTTTAACATTTGTCAATGCTAATAAAATATCAAAAACCTATCGCTTAAAAACCGTAACTACTCAATTACTAAAATCATGTCTTGTGGTGGTGGCGCGAAAAGATTCACGAACATTACTGGTTTGCCTGTAGCTAAAAACCCACACAAATTACTTGCAGTGCTCTACGGAAAAATTTTGAGGACCCTCCAAAAAATGCCCGAAAATGCAGCTTACAGAAAATACACTGAGGATATAATCAACGAACGCTCGCAAATCCTGATCTGCACGCCCTCAGTGGAAGACGTTGAAAAAGAAATCGGCTGCGGACAAATTGAAGAGATAATTGTCCAAGCTGAAAATGAACTTAGTTTGTCCAGGAAGATGTTAGCATGGAAGCCATGGGATGCTCTTGTGAACCAGCCCCCACCAGGTCAGTGGAGTTGGCCTCCAGCCCAAGCTGTCCAACAACGTTGAGAGCAGAGTCTCACGTAGGTGTTTGTGATTTGTTAAAAAGACTTTAATACCTTCATTAGATGATAAAAATAAATAGTAAAAAAATAAATTGTCACAAAGTTTTTCATCTTCATGAGAAACTGATAATACTTTACCAAATCAAAGTCATTGGGTTAAATCCGTCTTTAATTAGTTCGTGCATCAAGCAGGACTTTGTATGCGGATGGTTATTTTTCGCCCCTAGGGACTTATTCCCCCAAGTCCAATTTGGCGACTAATAGTGTGTGGATTTTCAAGAAAGAACCAAATTAATAGAGAAAAGCCAAAAATAACTGGTTGGTCATAGTAAACTACGCGTTTATTTTCAATGTGTACGAACAAAAAAAATGGAAAATGGTTCTATTTGGTTGCGAATTTTCACCGGCCATCTTTGTTTTTATTAATTGTATAAACTCAACAGTGTATCATGTGCTTAGGAATTTTTCTATTTATGTGAAAATAGCGGAAAATAACTTTTCATTTCCCTAGAATATCTACGCATAAATAAATATATATTTGCATCTGGGGTACGCCAGAATATTATTTATTCAATAACAGTGAAGTAAATCCCGACTAGAGAGATGAAAGCCACAAAATAGGGTATCGGGTTATGATGGAAAATACAACAGTATATTTGAATAGCTTCAAAGGGAAATTCAACATGGCATGTATAGGTAGGTATTTGAGTAGTTCTGGAAATGCATCTGTTTAAATTTTCAAATAAGCATTATAAATGAAACTACAAAATGGCACAAATATCCCTTGCGAATAGGATCCCACGGATCCCAAAAAGCGCTCTCTGATATTTAAGCGTTTTAAAAAGCGGTTGCAAAAAGGGCATTTTCGTTTCCCGGAAGCTGTGAGCCCTGCATCAAAAAATCTCTGATGTATATACGCTTGTTAACAGCAACTTTTTTTTGGGTCAAGGGGATATTAGACTCCGATTGTGCTTTATGAGCCAAGGGAATTCGGAGGCTCGTCGAATTTATTTGTAGGAGAAAGGAAGGATATTTTGCTCGTGTTAAATCAGAGCTTTGTATGTATGTGAATGATAAACTTGAATAAATGACATTTGAAGTTATTCAGACGATTTTATGAATAAAAATATTCAACCCTTATTTCAATATCAGACATTTCATGGAGTTCGTTCTATTAATAGGCTTTTTGCTTTGTTTCCCTTTCAGTTGTCTGATCGATTTTATGAATTAATCATGTCTGTACCGCTCAAAAATAAATTAGTTCACGTTTCTTCATTTACTCTGCTACAGGGTTATTTTTATATTCGCTTTTATGTCAATATTATCCTGAGACTTAAAAAATAAGCTTCATTCTGCACAGGAACAGGTTGATTTGAAGAACCTATCCATTATTCCTATCTTGAGGACGATATAGTTGCAGAGGACAGAGTTCAGTTAAATTATAAAAAAAAAAATATAACATTTTCGATTCCGTTTGCAGAGTTGCCTCTTTTTCTTTAGTTTTAAAGGAAGTGGTAGCACATTTGCTTTTTCGAATACTTATACCTATACCTACCCTGTAAATTACTGCGTTCTCCATTCAACGGAAAATTCTAAACGTGTTAAATGTATATAGGTAATGTCCTAATTATCGTTAACTGGTTGCGAAATAGAGGCATCAGACTTTACAGGCTGTCAAAATTTCAAATATGTAAATATATAGGTATGTTATATTTTAGCTGTCGATATGTCGATATCCCATTGAGAAAGTTGAAGATTATACCGGAATTTTCTGTGGAATCCAAAAATGCAATAATAGTTAGGTATACTAGGAAAGATTTAAAGAAATAAAGTCTCGACTCTGTACCTTAATGTACGTATATTAAGTAATGAGTGTTGTTAAGCAAATAACGCACGAATAAAACCATAACTCACGCCGCATAGCTGCAACGGCAAGTTCGTTATTTTATCAATGTGTGTAGTAAAAGATTTTCAGAGTTAAGGCTTCAATACAGTAAATAATGTAATGAGATATACAACATTCTTCCTCGCTCAGTTTCTTAATCTTGAAGATATGAAGGTGGCCTATGATGTCTCTTCACCATAACACGACCGGATTCATCAGTAGGTTTCACTGTAGATAAAGCTGGAAGATTTTCATTGTGAGATTGCTCAGAATTTTGGGGAAGGGAACGATTAGAATCATTTATAGGGAATGAAGATAAACGTTCTGAACTGACTGATGTGAGGTTTTATTTAGGAATAGTTTACTCATTTAAATCTTGTTCTGGTAGTCTTATGGCATTTTGATCTCGTTCTGGTAGTGTCACATTATTTTGATCTTGACCTGTCAGAGCTGGCAGTGTCACATCTCCCCTTGGTGCTAAATGACGAGTTGATACAGTAATTTCTCTTCCATTTGATAGGCGTACATGAGCATAATCTGAATTTGCGGCCAGAAGATCAACTTCTTCCACTAGTGGATCATATTTGTTATGTCTAACATGTTTCTTCAGAAAAATTGGTCTTGGGGTGCTCAACCATGTAGGCATTGAGGCTTCATTAGTGGATCTTCTAGGATGGTTGAACATGCATTCATGAGGTGTAGAATTAGTTGGAGTACCTACACAAGTTATCCTACCTAATTTACTTTACGGTGCAGCAGTTTTTTCACAGACAACACGTCAACATAAAAAGAAACTGCAGGTGTTTCAAAACAAGATAATCCGTAGGATTGGCGGCGCTCCGTGGTATGTCCGCAATACGGACTTACATACGGACCTGAGCGTCGATACAATCCAGGAGTACCTTGTTGAGAAACATGTGCGGTTTCTTGACAAAGTAACTAACCATACAAATGACATATTTAAATCTTTATTCGGCGATAACCATGCTATTAACCCTGACAGGACTATTTTCAGAAATTTAAGAGCTCCACTTCTCTTCTAGTGAATGAAGTCCCCTTCCCTCCTTTTCCATCCTCCCTATACTTTCCCCACTCCCCTCCTTCTTCCTGAACAAAAATTAACTTTAAACACAACACATGGCAGTGAGTAGAATCACCCGAAATTGCGTAAGAGTGCTGTCGCACTAACGCAAAAAGTTGCAGTACATAAAAGAGATCTTATTGAATGCAGAGAATCTAATAATTCATCTTGCCATTGTTTTACTTCGAGGTTTCTAGATTTAATCCCAAGCTGAATAGCCTTCCAACAAATTGTTCCATTAAATCTTTTATTGTCCATTTCTCTTTAGATTGTACCCAGTTTTACGAGTTATGGCAACAACATGACTTGTTAAAATGATTTCACATCAAAAGATGCTCCTCTATCGCTATGAATATAACCTGGTGTGCCAAAAATTGAGAATACTTGAGTTTATTTCTATTGCCGAGGACATATCTGACCATAGAAATGCAAACAGAAATCTTGAGTATTCATCTACAATGTCTAATAAATATTCGTTATGATTGTTGGAAGGCAATGGTCCCTTAAAGTCAATATTTAATCTTTCAAATGGTGCTATGGCTTTGATGAGAGTTCCTTGGTTTTTATAGAATCTTGGCTTTATCTCTGCACAAACCGGAACCGCGGATATAACTCTTTTGATGTCTTCTAGTGAATAAGGTAATTTTTTGCATCTAATCCAATGATAGAATCTTGTGACAACAGGATGACACATTGTGTTTTGTAATTTATACAAATTTTTCTCTAATGTGTATCAGCTACAATGTTTTGATTTCCTGGCCTGTATATCATATCATATTTGTAGCAGGATAATTCCATTTTCCAACGCATTATTTTCTCATTCCTGGTTTTTGATAAACTCTTACTGTCAAACATAAATGCAACGCATATTTGATCAGTAATAATACTAAAATGTCGTCCCATCTAATAATGCCTCCATTTTCTTATAGCTTTTATTATTGCGTATGCTTCTTTCTCTAAAATGGAATGATTTTGTTTTTTTTTTGTTAAGGTTCTTGAGAAAAATGCGACTGGTTTACCATTTTGTGTCAGATGAGCACCGATAGCGAAATCAGAAGCATCTGTTTCCACTGTAAATGGAACCTTTTCGTCGACGAACGATACAACAACATTATTAATATCTTGTTTCAACCTCTCGAATGTGTGAATTTGTTCTCTGTTCATGGGAAAACTTATCACGTTCACAATGGAATATAGGTATCTTTTCAGAAAACTTGCATATAAATGTTGAGTAGTGTGCGAACATACCTTGTACTCTTCTGAGAGAAGCAACAACTGCCAGAACAAGATTTTAATGAGTTAATTATTGATAAAAAAAACTTATATCAGTCAGTTCAGAACGCTTATCATCTTCGTTCCCTATAATTGATTCTAATCGTTCCCTTCCCCAAAATTCTGAACAATGTCACAATGAAAATCCTCCAGCTTTATCTACAGTGAAACCTACTGATGAATCCGGTCGTGTTATGGTGAAGAGAAATCATAGGCCACCTTCATATCTTCAGGATTATGTCAGAAACTGAGCGAGGGAGAATGTTGTATATCTCATTACCTTATTTAGGGCCGGTTTATCAATCAAGGGATAACTCGCAGAGTTTCCTGACCCCGAGTCAACTCTAACTCTGGGCTAACTAGATAATTAAGTCGAAAGGTGTTTATCCAAGCTTTTTTAACCCAGGGCTGGTAAACTCTCGGGTTCTTCGAAGGTTGGAACTACTTATGCAACGTTGCCAGCTCACTTTTATTTATTTTTTCACATTTTCTGCTCATAACCTTACTTAATCATGTTATTTTTTTCTTTTTTTTTTTCGTTTCCGTAGGGCATTTATACCAAAGTAGCATGCGACGTGCTACCGTGCGACTTGCTGCTAGAAAGCAGGGAGCACGTTGCAACTTGAGTTTTCCATGATTACATTCATACCAAAGGCCATTTGAAGATGCACATGTTTACAGATTCGGATATAGGTATATCCTTTTGAATGTGACACTTGCAAAGCAAAATTTAAAATAAAAAGCGTTTTGAAGATGCACATGGTGACACACTCGGATATTTATCCTTTTGAATGCGACACTTACAAAGTAAAATATAAACGAAAAAGCGATTTGAAGAGGCACATGTTATCACACTTGGATATTTAATCTTTTGAACGTAACATTTACAAAGCAAAATTCAAATGAAGAAGACCATCTGAAAAATCATATATTAACACAATCGGATAATCATCCTTTTGAATTTGACACTTGCAAGGCAAAATTCAAACGAAAAGCGATTTGAAAAGGCATATATCATATCATGCGTGCGACCGTGCGACTTGCTGCTAGAAAGCAAGGAGCACGTTGCAACTTGAGTTTTCCATGTTTACATTCATACCAAAGGCCATTAGAAGATGCACATGTTTACAAATTCGGACATATATCCTTTTGAATGTAACACTTGCAAAGTGAAATTTAAACGAAAAGGTGTTTTGAAGAGGCAATGTTAACACACTCGGATATTTATCCTTTTGAATGTGACACTTGCAAAGTGAAATTTAAACAAAAAGGCAATTGGAAAATGCACATGTTAACACATTCGGATATTCA